TTAACTGTTACCAGAATGATTAGAACTGTTCAGTGTATCTTCAAATCAATCCACATTACATATCGAATCACAGTTTTAAATGTGCGGTAAAAATCATGAAGTAAAGTTGCTTATTTTTCCTTAAATCTTAATGATTAAACAATAGGTCATAACTGATAGTCGATTACTCGGCATATCATACCCCAATAAATCTGGGCTATCAATGGATAATAAACTTATGATTTATTGAATGTGAAATATAAAAATTAATAAATACTTAAATTGTCGCCACTTCAAGCGAACTCACATTTCTAATAATACAATTTGAATTGCTCAATATTTTTTGAAACAACTTTTATCTTCACACTGCAGCTACAAATATCGACGAACACAAGAAGCAAAAGAGATGTAATTGAATTTTTTTTTTTTTAATATTGTATTTTGTACATTTGCGCGCTTTATACGTACTTTAATTGAACGCGTCCGATTGGCGACTGAAACTAACATCTTGACCAGGTAGCCAAACCGTTGTACATTGCACGTCGACGACGCCACTCAAGTCCGCCAAGCACTCGAATAGCCCAGGCTTGGTTTTGAAAAATCAAAACCATCACCAAAAGAAGAAGCAGAAGAAGAAAACCGAAACACCGTAAAGCAATAAGAAGAAATTCAGTGATAAACAAACCGAAAATCAAAAAATAAATAAAAAAAATTTGCCAGTCTCTGCGATGCACTTTTCGACGAGGAAATGTGCTTGGAAATGGTTTGTTTGGAAAACAAGTTGTCTGCGAAAAAGTAGCCATTGCTGATATATACACAGACATCAATTATGTATGTATGTATGTATGAATGTTTGTGCGAATATGTTGCCAAACCAAAACAGCGATGAGAAAAAATATACAGGTATTTACAGGAAAATTTATGATTACGTACATATGTATGTATGTTTTTCTCCCAAAATGTTGAAAATTAAGTGGGTAGTTGAGCTAGAAGAGCCTCCACAGTGCATTGTTTTGTTAGTCTGCTAGTAAAAAATTTGCATAGCTGCAAGCAAATTTCTATAAAAATACAAAATAAATAAACAAATAAAAGAAAAAAGTGCCTGGGTAACCCAACGAAGTTTATATACTCGACAATTCAACTAAAACTAATGCACTTAGAAAAAATTCAGCTAAATATATTCCTCTGATATTCTAGACCAATATGTTTGTGTTAAATCCTGTAGTACGGGAACAGGCTAAATGAGAATAAGAAAAAGTAGACAAAAAAATGTCAAATTAAACTCTGATTTTCTTAATCACCACAATTTCACCAACACTTGTTCATACACTCTAAACGTTGAACTGAAGTTTATGGCTCAATGAGAACGTAATATAACATTTTGCCTTTATGCTCGAATCGAACAGGTAAAGCGGCGACAATGAAAAGGCGACCTTTTGTGGGTAGAAACGAAAACACCACAAGATTCGGATTAGGATGACGTTGAAAATCTTTACTTCAATAGTTTGAATAAAATGTTATGTTAGATTAAGTTGTCAAGGTTGAGTAGCTCAAATGTGACGCCTAGGGACACGATATCGAACCGAAAGTATATAAACTTTAGCTGCAAAAAAAATCTGGTGCTCATTAATATCGGAATAGAAAGACTCGATATTCCAAATATCGATACCAAATTCAATAAATTAAATCTGAATATTGGTCTCATTTCCACTTCATTTCACTTCGATAAGTATTTGCGTATGTAGAGGTAAGTGTATATTCGTTATAAAATTCGTATTTTATTTGCGTTAAGTTTAAAAACATTGGGGCTGTTCAGGATGTTGTGGGATTGGTCTTGGATTTGCAGTTGGAATTGCATTTTTGAATTTTTTGCTGCTGCCATGGCAACCGTGTGCATTTTATTGTTGTGAATTTACAACTGCAAGGAATATGCAAATGCAAGAGCATATTCACAAGATTATGAACAGCCCTATTATTAACAACTTCCCTGTCCTTATACAATGCATTTTGTTAATGCCCCACGTCCACAGGTTTTTTGCTCTAATATGCTGAAGAACGTCCATATATACCATAACATATAATTTTTATAAATTGTTATATATTGCTTTAACTTGTTTTTGTTATTTTATTTTATGACTCATATGTGACTCATGGACGTAGGACGAAACAGTTTCTTTGCCACGTTCAATGAGTTACATGTGAACACATCGAGCAAAGTTGTTTTTGAGTTACATTTAGGGATGTTCCGATACAAGTAAATACGAGTATGTACTCGATACTTGTGTTTCGATAAAAACTACTTTTTTTACTCGAATCGTTGTTTCGATACCTACTTGGTATTGGAGTGCAAGGTGGCAAAGTCTTTCTGGCCACGGGTGGACCGGGGGCGGTCTGGGGAGCTCTTGAGACTAAGAAAGCTGAATCTCTCACTATTGGTGGGAGTGCTTACTGGTAACTGTGTGATTGGTAACCATGCTGTAAGGCTGAATGTTGCGGATAACCCTTACTGCACCAGCTGCATGGAGGATAATGAGGTGGAATCATCTAAACATCTGCTGCTCTGGTGCCCCGCCTTTGCGAGCCTAAGGTTTAAGCACCTTGGGTCGCACTTTTTTCACACTCCCGATGAGCTCTTGGGAGTGGACATCAGTCGACTGAAGAGCTTCGTTGAGAGCACGGAGCGTTTCTCCGGCAAAAGGTGTCGTCCTTCTCCCATAGCTTCCTCCCTCCTTCTCCCCCCCCCTGCGTCCCTTTTTCGCTCCCCCCTCTGAGGGCTTCACAGCGGACAGCTTAGTCGAGTCCAAGTGTGCCTCCACATGCGGAGGCAGCCCGCTTACCTAAGCTAACCTATATTTATTGTGCGCTTTTTCTTTTTACTAAAAGAGAACTTTCAGGAAAAAATCTCGAAATTTTCTTTCATATATATTTTTACGTTAGGTTTTTTTCCGTACGTCCACGTATCATTTAAAAAAATATCGCGTACCCTTCACACCAAAAAATTTGTCCGAAATTGTACACAAAAATGAATCACATGTGACTCATGAACTTATTTCAACACGCTCTCGTGAGTCACATATGACTCATTGGACAGGGAAGTTGTTAACAAAAAAACTTTCAATGGAAATTTTAGTAACGTAGAGACACGTCAGATACTTCGGCTGATAAAAAAGCAGGAAAGATTTCTACATTTAGGAGCTTAGAAAATTGATCTTAAATATTTCAAATATTACCACAAAAAATTTTATACAAATGACTTGCTCAATTCCCAGAGTTTTTAAATTTTGAAGTTTACACTTTGTCTTTTTTAAGATTTCGTCACGGCCCGCCAGATTGGAAATGCCCATATGTATAGGGTGATCCTTCTCGAACTTTTTTTAAATTATAAATAAAACACTTAAACCAGCACTGGTGTTGGAATCTTTATTATCACACGAAAGAACAATATATGAAATTTACTGTTAAAAATAATTTCATTCAAATGTTGGCCGCGACTACGTTGTAGGTGGTGGGAATTTACCTGTTTTAGATGTGTAAAAAAATTGGGTTGGCAAAATTGTCTCAACTGTTTTTGATGAAGATGACAAAATGCAACATTCTGTCAAAAAATAGGAAGAACGAAAATTACAGTATATACTTATAAAAATCTAAATTAGAGGCAGACTTCGCAGACTCTCATACATTGTATCTAAAAATATAGCAACTCTGTTTATTGCGCAGACACGTCACACGGAATGGAGAGCTCTCACGTAAATTATTATGTAAAGAAAAGACAAGGTTTCAAATTATTAATAACACTGGATCACAAATTTTAGTTTGGTTTTTGTTCTCCAGGCGCCATTATCCAATTTCTATGTAAAATTGCTCGGTGATTACAAAAATCATGAAAGAATTAAAAAAACAAACTTTAACAGAAGAAAAATTTAAAAAATAACAGGTGCATTTGTGCTGAAGCCTGTTCTGTTACAAAAAAAAAAAAAAAATCAGGGTACTAGCGAAGAAAAGCGATGGATATATAAAGTAGTAATGAGTGGTCAAATGAAAATGCGCATAGCTTTTTGTATGAAATGTGAGCAGAAAAGCGTGTTTCTCAGGTGTACGTGGCGTATGCGTAACTTTCTTTTCTGCTCATTTGTCATATAAAAAATCTTTGCGTATTTTCATTTGACGACTCATTACTTCTTTATTTATGCCTCGCCTTCCTTCATTCGTTACTTGATTTTTTTTTTGGTAACAGAACAGGCTTTAGCACAAATGCAAAAACTTGGCACAGAACCTGATATTTTTTAAATTTTTCTTCTGTTAAATTTGATTTTTTTTTAATTTTTTTATTAAAAAAACAAAAACTAGATTAATTAATTCTGTGTTCGTATGGAATAGTAGCTTATGCGAATGCCGCATTATACTAAAGCCAGCCTTTCGACATAGGCTACGATTCCATACGAACACAGAATTAATAATTTGTCAGAAACTGTGAGTCCTCTCGGAAAGTGATGTATAAATGTTTTATGGAGATTTTTATTATCTCATTTAAGATTGTTAAATTGGTTCGTAAGATATACGTGATTAAGTGGAACCACTTTTTGTTTTAAGCTACATAGAAATTGGGTAGTGGCATCCATTGAACATTTTTGCTGTAAACCAGTGTAATTAATAAGTGGTCCTTGATCTTTATTTGGTATTTAAATCGATTGTGTACAACGTTATAAAGCATACTTGAAGCTCTTACCTCAGTGTGGCGTGGTAGCTGGTGAAGCGGTTGATGGTTCTTGTTTGAGTGAGTTTAGATACATAAGTACTTTATGTAATTGCAAACTCCGTTGTACCCGCCGAATCACGAAAACTGTTATTGAGCGGCGGGGTACACATGTATTTGTGTGCGTTTGTGTGTGTATGTATGTACATATACGTTGCATATTACCGCACATTAGGGTGGTGCAATAGGTTTCGGCTGGAGGCCTAAGGAAATTCTTTTTTAACTAAAGGTTAATATATTTATTCGCTTAAAACAACTGAGAGCTTTCTTAAATACTAATGTCTAATACAAAGTTATCTATGAAATCTTGTAGCATATCTGTTAGCCTCTCTCTATAAATATCATCGGTACGAAAAGCTTCCAAACATATCTCTACTCGCTTGGCGTCGAAAAAGTCGCTGAAACCATTTGCTGATGAGGTTAAATTTTCAGTTAGTACTGTCGGCAAATCGGTTAGATGTGAGAAAAGTAAGCTCTCAATCAGTCCAACAATCCGGAACTTTTCTGCAGTCTCGTAAAACTCCTCGCGCGGCAAGAAGCTTTCAATGTTAAGTTGCTTGCACTTCAAGAACTCGGCCATAAAATGATAGTAGTCACTAAGTAACTCAGGCAAATACTGCTTGCGGAAACTGCTGCTCGTCGGTATCGTCAGCACTGTAATCAGATCCACCATGGGTGGTGCATAGCGGGCGAGTTGGAAGTCCACCAAACGACTTTGTAAGGGCGACTCACCATATTTGCCATACTGAAACATTATGTTGTTCGCCCATAGATCACCATGCGAGAAAACATTCAGATATTTGTCCGATGTCTGCACTAATTCGAAGATTGCCGCCATGCGTTTCGGAAATTCACGTAATATGTAGTCCAATTTTTCTTGGTATTTCGGCAGTAGTTTTATTAGTTCCAAAAATACGCAATTCCCGTTGTTGAAGTTCCGCTTCCGTACGTGGTTCTCCGATATTCCCTTGGGGTAGGAATTTTCAACCACCGCCTCGGGATGTAACTCATTCAGCTTGCGACCACAGCTTGCCTCGTAAACAATAGAACTGGCATGCAATGCGGCCAGAGATTTCAATATGCAGTGGAGATGCTCGTAGTTGAGTAGCCCATCGCGTCCTGCACCCATGCGGAAATTCTGATCCGCAAGGTGTTCGAAGACTAGAAGTTGCTCGTCAGCATAGTAACATTTTGGCGCGATGATTGGAAAGATTTTCTGCAATTCAGGCATCAATTCTCGGTACACGGCCACCTCTTTTTTGAAGACACCGAATTCTTCTATATACTCCATGCGGGAGGCCAGCTCCAGAGGCGGCGACTTGGTGAAGAAGCGTATTTGTTCGTAATGTTCTTGGCCATTAACGTCAATGCGGCGTACTTTGAGAGTGAGAAATTGATGGCGGCCCAAAAAGCCGGCAACAGTGTCTGCATTGGAGGAATGCTCGTAGCTGAGAACCTCCAGTGTGCGTGGACGAGTGGACTGAGTGTTGTGCTCATGATAGCGCTGGCAGAGATTGTTTAATGCATCGGCGCTAAGTTCTGCTGTGGTGGCCATATTTTCGTGAACGGATGCAGCTTTGCACTCAAATTTAAATCTAACTAATGTATATCTAATCTCCTAACACTTTTTACAACAATCTGAACTGGAGTAGCCTTTGAGGCAGAATGACGACTAAGTTTGAGTTCTCTTTGGTACATTCTATCTTTCATAGGTACTTATATGAGGATCGCAAGAGTTCAGCAAGCTCGAGTGGAGTGCGACGACGTATTTGTTGAGAAGCTGTAAAATAAAACAGATTAATTTCTTTATTAAGGCACACACGCTGTTTATGAAATATTGTAAACGTCGTTGGGATTATAGCGATTTATGTAATTGAGAATATGAACTGCCTTCTGTAAAAAACATAGCAAATACCTAAGTACTTTGCTCACATCTTCATTGAGATAATATATAACTGAGCGTTAGATTAAAAAAGTATGTAACACATACATACATATGTATATATCGTCGATGTTTTTGCAAAATCGCCTATCTTACGGCGCTCAAATTTTACAGGAGAGCGAAAAAATGGGGTTTCTTTGAAGGCACTGGCTTGAGAGGCGCTATTTTTTACAACGCTTTTATCAACTTGCAATGTTGTGTGTCCAGAAACTTTCAATGTTGTGGATCTAGAAACTTTCAATGTTGTGTGTCCGACACCATAAAACCTTTGCTTTGAAAAGTTCCTATGAAAAAGCATAATGCATAGGGCGACATCTGTAGTGAATAGGGCGAGGTAGATGACATTTAGATGTCGCCCTATGTACTACGTTTGCTACAGCGGAAATAGACGACACGCCATTTCTTTAAATAAAATTAATTGGTGCTCGTTTGTATGTAAATACATATGTAAATGCATGTGTGTGCACCTTTCTATTAATATCGTTGAATTATTTTAATATCTATTGCAAAATTTTATTCAGACAGGACTAAAAAGTAGAAAATAAATAATATAAAAAAACTGTTTAATATGCAACGCTTTTATAAATGGACTAAAAAGTAGAAAATAATATTTCTCAGTCCCATAGAATTTGTTTTGATAACTTTTGATTTTGAAATTTTAGCAAAAGTCATTATAAACAATCTATGAAATTGAAAATGAAAAGCGTGGGGCGCATGTAATACACTTGAATTGATATGAAAAGTAATATATGAATGTATGTATGTGGGTATATGAATAACGACCGCTTAAAATCGATTTCAAAGTTCTACTTTCGCTGTAGAAATTTTAGGTCTACGTTATGTAGTTTGACTATTGTCAATTAAATCGAATGCTTTGTATTGCATGCGCTCCACGTTTTTCATTTTCAATTTCATAGATTGTTTATAATGACTTTTGCTAAAATTTCAAAATCAAAAGTTATCAAAACAAATTCTATGGGACTGAGAAACATTATTTTCTACTTTTTAGTCCATTTATAAAAGCGTTGTATATTAAAAAGTTTTTTTTATATTATTTATTCTAGCTATTATTTTACAATTCTGTTGTTTTAATAACGATTTTACGATTTTTTTGCATAAATGTCGATGCCTGGAGTTCAGGGTTACCAAATCTCATTTTTGTCGCAGCGGCGATTTAGGCGGTTTTGCAACTGGTCGATCGACGGTTTTGCAAAAACATCGACGATATGTTTATGTTAATTTCGCAAGCCAATAATTTTCGCCTTAATATATTCGGTCTTATTGAATTTGCTTGCATTAGTGAGCGGTGGGTTGTATGTATAATGTTATATTCTTACGTATGTATGTATGTATTCCCACATCCATGTAAACAACAGTAAATTTGAGGGAATACGAGTATTTTGTTGCTTACATATTATTAGAGTAGTTGACAAAAAAAGGTCTTACGCTAGATGTAGTATTTACGTGGTCAACGTTTTGGCATATGTGGCCATAAACCAAAGACAATCCCCAGATGTGCGCATACAAATAACAAATGTAGCCATTTAATCTTAATCTTACATTTATGTATATTTTACGTTCGCGTTTTCTGATTTGTTTCCTATGTGGGCAAATCCCTGGGATCGTGTGCTTTTGTATCACTCAACCTTAAATTGATTTCAATATTACTTTTTATATAAAAAACTTGGGCCATTTTGATAACAAATGTGACGGGTTCTTGTAACTTATTTAATTTATAAATTTAATGATGCTTTTTTTTTTTATAAACAATCAAAGTGATTAAAATAACAATTTTGACGTGTCACTTTGGGTATCTTTTGTACGGTTTTGAGTTGAGTAGAACTTTTACAGCGCAAAACGGAGACATTCAAAAATCATGGCAAATAGTAAATGCAATATTGGAAAACGTAATTATCAAAAAGGTAATATCTTAAGTTCTTTTTCATTTTGCACTTTCAGCGATAACTAAATTCTTCTCATTCGATTATACATATATGTACATATTAGGGCCGATTACAAAATAAAATTAAAGAATATTTTAAAATTTAAAGGATGCTTTATTTTGCTGATCGATTTCATAAAGCCACTTTAAAGATAAAGGTGCCCATAAAGGCTCTTTAGTTAAATACCCAAAATGGAAATTTAAATGACATAAAGGTCCCTTTCGTAAGAAAAAAAAATGTAATTTTCGTAATATAATTGCAGATTTATGACAATCAGCTGATGCAATTTCGCCGAGATCAGCATTGCCAACTTTGTTATTTACATTTAAATGAACCTTTTGTTATTATTCAATTACCATTGTATTATGAAAACAGTTCTTGTTTAAAGTACATCTAAATGAAACTTTAACTAAAACGAAACTTTTGCAAATAGGACCTTTAAGTGTTGCACATGGGCCCCTAGTTACACATTAAAGAACAAAATAATACCCTTTACAGTTGTGCGCACTTCAAAATCGTGAAAATATAACAAATATTGTCTGAATAGGTCTTTGCGTGAATAGCTTAAAAGTTTCCCTTATTTTGATGGCACACTGACAGACTAAGGGCCATTTTCTGAAGTAACCTTTAACTTTATAGCTCACTTTATACTTAGATTAGATTAAAAATAAAGCTATGTCTAAAGTTAAGCATTTCTATTATCAGTTTTTGTCGTATGTATGTTTCTTGGTTGTAAACCAATTTAAAACCGATAATAAAGTGCTTTACTTTAGACACAATCATACATTTTAATGCAGCCTTTAAATATAAAGTGAGCTTTAAAGCTACAGGTTACTTGAGAAAACGGCCCTAAGACATAAGAGGTTGGCATTAAGCGTGATCGTTAGATAACATTCTTCACAAAGTTCATTGAAAATGCTAAATACATAAAATAAAATAATTTGTATGTGTGATAGTACTATCGATAGTATCCCAGCTCTAAGATGAGCCATTTAAGGGTGTACAGAGTACCTACATCAACTAGCTAATGGGAGCTTTGCAAAACAAGCCACTTCCGCTCAGAGTTTCCGTGCGCAACAATAATATCAGCGCATAGCTTGCAATTGTCAACATAAAACGACGTCTTTTCACTACTACAAAAATATTTAAGGAAAAGAAGATTTTCGACTCACCCGATTGTGCTTACCGGAAGGGTAAGAACTATACCAAATGTGAACTGAACAATGGATTGCATGCGCCTCCCGGTGTGAAGGGTTTCGTACATACCTAAAGGGTTATCATTAGGCACCTCTAACTACTAAACAATAAAGTAAATGAAGAAAATCCAAGGCGTTTGCTCACGAGGAAGAGTTTTCTAATAATATTTGCTTTATATTCGTGTTTTTCCACTCCATACCTTATTGTATGTAGTTAATAGTATTTACATTATACATTCATGCAAATACAAAGTAACAAATATAAATACAAGCATTAGTAAAAAGTACAGTAAACATAGAATCTGCCAAACTTTTTGTTAAATTTTAATATTCAATACAAAATTATCTATGAAATCTTCTAGCATATCTGTTAGTCTAACTCTATAAATATCATCGCTACGAAAAGCTTCCGAGCATATTTCCACCCGCTTGGCGTCGAAAAAGTCGCTAAAACCATCCGCTGATGAGGTTAAAGACTCGGTTGATTCCGGTGGTAAATCAGTCAAATGAGAGAAAAGTAAGCTCTCGATCAGTCCAACAATTCGGAACTTCTCTGCAGTCTCGTAAAATTCCTCGCGCGTCAAGAAGTCGTCAATATTCAATTGATTCTGCTTTAAGAACTCAGTCATAAAGCGATAGTAATCACAAAGTAATTCAGATAGATGCTCCCTACGGAAGCTGCTGCTCGTCGGTATGGTTAGCGCCGTCATTAAGTCCACCATAGGCGGTGCATAGCGGGAGAGTTGGAAGTCCAACAAACGACTTTGTAAGGGAGACGACTCACCACATTTGCCATACTGGAACATCATATTGTTGGCCCATAAATCACCGTGACAAAGCACATTCAGATACTTTTTGGACGTCTGAATTAACTCGAAAATTGCCGCCATGCGCTTCGGGAATTCGCGTAATATGTACTCCCTATTTTGCTGGTATTTAGGCAGCAATTTTATCAGTTCCAGAAATACACGATTCGCATTATTGAAGTTCTGCTTCCGCACATGGTGCTGCGGAATGTCCAAGGGATAAGCGATCTCCACCACCGCCTCGGGATGTAACTCATTCAGCTTGCGGCCACAGCGTGCCTCGTAAACAATCGAACTGGCATGCAATGCGGCCAGAGATTTCAGTGCGCACTGAAGGTGCTTATAATCCAATAGGCCATCACGTCCAGCGGCCATGCGGAATTCCTGATCGGCCAGATGTTCGAAGATAAGCAGCCGCTCGTCGGCGAAGTAGCATTTCGGTGCCACATTTGGAAAGATTTTCTGAAACTCGGGCAACACTTCGCGGAATATGCGTACCTCCTTTTTGAAGAGACCAAACTCCTCTATGTACTCCATGCGAGAGGCCATTTCTAGTGGCGGCGACTTGGTGAAGAAGCGTATTTCTTCGAAATGCTCTCTGCCATCAGCATCAGTGCGACGTACTTTGAGTGTAAGAATCTGGTGCCGACCAAAGAAGCCCGTTACAGTGTCTGTATTGGCCGAATGCTCGTAGCTGAGGACGTCTAGTGAGCGTGATTGAGTGAACTGACTATTCTGTTCGTGATAGCGCTGGCAGAGATTGTTCAAAGCTTCACTGTTCAACTCAACTGTGGTGGCCATTTTGTTGAAGAAGGGAAGTAGCAGGAATGGGCACGCTTTTTATTACGCTGTGTGAACTGAAGTGGTGGACGATGCAGATGTGTCTATTTCTATTGAATTTTGCATTCAACTAACAACAGAAGAACGCGGTTATCATACATACATACAAATGTATTTACTTAGAGATAGCACTTTTTAAGATAGCTTTAACTGTCGCCGAGATTAAACTAGTTGATTTGAAATTGTATGTACACATTCGAGATGGGCGCGTGAGTTTTGTAAATCACTCACGTTCTGTTATATATTTTTCAATCACGTTCACGCACGCTCACGATGCCTATTTTATAAATCACGCACACTCACGCACGCTTTCTCACGGACAAGTTTTTCAAATTTATTTGTACAAAAAAGAGGCTTTTATCACACAGGTATTGTTACAAAAGCTTGGTCAAATGCCTAGCAAGTGATGAATTAATTTTTTTTTTACAAATATAAGTTACACAGTGCTCATCATAACTTTATGACACGTACATTTTGAAAATATTTGGCCATATATCTTAATATTTTTTAATTTGCAGTATTTGTTTATAAAAATATAGTAGATTCTTTAACAAAACTGCATAAATGCAAATTTCAAACTTTGTGCAAGATTAAAAAAAAAAATCAATAAACTTTCGTAAAAATGTTGAGCTTTTAATTCGATTTTTTTAGAAATACTTTGCCAGTATGCCAGTTTTTAACCCATCCAATTTTAGTATAATAGAGTATAAGTTGAAAGAAGATACGACTTACCCTTGATTTTTAGTTAAAAATGCCCATATGTATGTGAAAATTCCGTGACTGACAGGAAATCTAACTCACGCACGCTCACGTCAGCAAAAATTTCAGTCACGCACTGAGACTATTTCAAATTTAAATAAGTTAAAAAATATTAACAGCGCTTTTTATAAAAATCGTCAATATATTAGTCAGTTTCAAAAGGATTCAATATTGATTACAATATAAAATTGAAAGTTGGTTTAGATATTGAAAATACCAAAAATGAAAAAGGAAGGGGGTGCCCTCTTTTCTACGATGACATTTTTCCCCCCAAACAAAATTTGGTCCACTTTAATCTATACCCCTACCATTTTCCCGTATACTATTTATTAGCACTCTAAATTTTGTTTTGTCACTTCATAGATACTTTGTGTGCACCATATCGACTGCCAGTTTTATACTTACAACTGTAGCTAAATGCGGGGTTACATAAATACGTGTCCATATGTATTTCTTTGTTTATCAAACTTAATGACTCGGTGTTTTTTGAGTTATAAATCAGAGACTCTCACCGTATGTGAGGAAAGGAACGACTTTACTAATTTATTTATTTATAAATAAAGGAGAGTACTGTAGACATGAATACCTTTCATCTGAATATAAAGTCTCGCATTGTGGTCATGAGCACTGTCACACAAGTGGATTAAAATGTTTTTTTTTTTTTTCAAAATAATAACTTAAATATTATAACTAACCTTAACTATTATACTAAGTAATTGCTATTAATTTTTCATACCATAAAAAGCTTCCATTTAAATATCCGCCCACAAAATATACTTTTTTTCTGCACTTCTCAGATTCTTTTTCAAATTCAGGGCAAATAAAACCGAGATCGAAATTTCAAATTATTTCGATGTTATGCCTGATGGAATTCAAATGTGGGACCACCTAAAAAAGAACATGTAACCAAATAAGCAACTATGTAATGTTAAATAAAAAAAATTAAAAACAAAAATATATAAAAAATAGAAAAAATCTTTTTTTATTGATAGCTTATGTCCAAAAATAGTTAGCTACAAGTTAGTTAACATCTAATGCAGAGGAAACCAGGAATAACTATTTTACGGCCTTCGCCCTACAAAAGTAGTTAGTTACTGCCAAAGGAAATAGTTAGTAAATAGTTACCACTAGTCGAATGCTAGTTAGTTAATAGTTAGCTACAAACTAGTCCCATTTCCAGCAGGGTAGGGCACTACTTCTTCTAGACGAATATATAAACCACATTTTGAGGAAATGTGAGGTAGCTGAGTTACTGCCACAGTTGTGATTTTTTTAAAAAACATTTTTTTTTTTTAAATTGGTCATAACATTTTAATGAAAGAGTCTATGAAAAAATACTCAGGTACGAAAACGAAAAAGCCCATCATTCTTTTTAAATATTAACTAGTCATTTTTTTCTCAAGTCCATTACAGACTAATTTCAGCCCACTGTGCGTCGTGGGGTTGCAGATACGCTTAGCATTAGTGACTTAAGAAGGTTTATTTTAATCCTATGTGTATCTTTTTTTTGCCGTCGCATACCACTGTGCTCGCAGGCAGACACAACATTCTACGTAATTCAGTAAACTTCTGGATGACTTATGTGTGGATGGAAGTGTGTTATGTATTTATAATTGTAAATAAAAATATTTTGTGGGGGGATTTAGTCTCTATAAACACTACAGTGATAGTAGATAAGCTAACAAACAACATTCAGCTGTTTAAATTAATACGCGCGAAAATGAGAAATTGCTCGTAGCATTACATATATAAAAAGTAAATTTTCTGGAATCTACATTTTGAAACATTTTTGGCATCAAATTGTGAGCACTCCTTTCTAACAGTCCTCGCAAAACTTTACTGCCAGACATTTCTTCTTTGCGTCCATTTTTTATATGACGCCTTTCGATTTCGGTTCTGAGAAAATTTTAATTGTTTAACTAAATTACAAATTGCTAATATTTGTTCTTTCTTTTCCTTGATTTGTTTGTTTTCATCAGTCAAATAAAATGCAAATACGGAAAACGTCCCCAATAAATTTAAAAAATTTGATTGCTATTTCCATAATGCAACCCTGCTGCGAGGTTGCAAAATATATACGCGTAAAAAACATAGCATTGAGTGTGACAAAATGTAGACGGCATCGTTTTCCAATTTTGCATGGGAAACAACAACACCACATATTTTACGGTGAGAAAGCGTCTTAAAATATAGACGTATATTTATTTGGATTATTTTTTTATTTATTCTACAGAAATTATTAACTCTAACCAGAGTACGAAAACAAACCTAACGTATCACTGCCCTTTTCCACAACAAGTACAAAAAATGTGTGTTCCTTTTGTTATACTGTTTCCGAGCACTAACAATACACGATACGTTTCAAATGCAGTTGTGTACAAACCAAACGATACAACTTAATGTCTTTCGAGCGAGCCCCAACTAAATCAGCGGCCGATAAAGTCTGCAGTGCGCGGGGGCTCTAATATTACATGAGTTATCATCGGTGTGGACTCGCGAAACGCCGACATGTTATTCTGCTTCGGAACATATAGGCATTCGTGGTAGGTTCCAGAAAATTTAAATAATAACCTTAGAAAGGTAACCATATTTCAACTTACTTAAAGATAACCATACGCGTCAGAACAGCACGATTTTCTAAAGCGTATATTTTACCGTAATTTCGAATATAGTAATTTTATAGATTTGGAATAGTTTTAAAAATAAAATGATGGATGATTTGATATGGCGCATATTTATGTATAATATGGCGTCTATGTACTGAGTTACACTGTGCGACAAATTTTAGCAACCCAAATCAGCCCAAACTTTGCTAATATTTTCTGAAATTTTACACATCCAGTAATAAAACACTCGATGGATTTGCAAAAGTTAGCTCGCATGTAATTTTATTTTATGGCCTAAGAAGGTTTTCAAGTCAAGTGGAAAAAATTGTTTAAATAAATGTCTGAGCGAAAATAAATGTTAAGACTTATAGTATAATTTCAGTGGTAATATTTTCGTAGAACCCCTCAAATCGCGCCTGAAAGGGTCGTTTTGACCTATACTTTAAGAAACCCCTCATCGATAGTTTGGAATGTTTATCAAAATCAAAACATTGAAAACGAAAGGTGGATTTGCAGGTGCTTAGCTTAATTGGTTTAAAGTAATGTACTTTTTCAGTAAAAAGTTTGCCAGTTCATGTACAAATAAGAACTGACTGTATAGGGCAAAGCACCAAAAGCCTAACATACTCCTTTCACAAGCAACCCCTATGGAACCGCCGATTAGTTATTACTTTATAGGCCTAACTAGATTTTCACTTTCCGCTGCACCACACATATCGCAGACGTTCTTAAAAAGGGTATTGATCCTTAATTTTACAATTTAAATATTATGTGCTAAAAATCTCCGCAGACTGTAAATTTTATGGACCAACAAAAGCATGAGTAAAATTTTTTAGTAACAAAATGAACTAAAGTAAAGGCTCCCTTTCCCATTTGATAAGAATGTTCATAGAAATACATATTTAGTTCTCAGAAAAAATTGCACCTTATTTATATTTTGGATCACCCTAATGTATATACATATTTCCTAGAAATTTTGTCTTTCTATAAATTTCGCGAACAATTCTCTTCCTGGGACCCTTCTTTTCTTGGATATCGAATTCCACTTAGTTAATCAACTGATTGTCTTTCCTTCCACTGCGAATGCACAATGAGTATGACAGACCATTAAAAACAACAAAAAAAACAATTGGCGGATCTGTCTTCTTATTAATAAACAAAATTCGAATAACTAAAATATCCAACTTATTATTGTTGGCGAAGCAAAACAACGCTGGCCATCAGCTACGATAGTTAGCCAGTTGTGTTTAATGCTACCGTCACGTTCTTTGTAATTAAGTAGCCCAGTTTGCAGCCAAAGATGTTTGCCAAATCTTCGTTCTTCGTTATTCGTTCTTCAATCATCATTCTTCGTTCTTAGCTGTTATGCGCTACTGGCCTGTGCATACAACAACAAGTGCGCAGCACATTTTGGGCATAATTATATACAAATTTACATACTTACATATGTACATATATGTATGTAGGTAGTTGATGAAGTAACTATTTTCGCAAATCGTTTACAAAATTGCTAACCTTTTTGCAGAGAGTGCGGACAACAGCGCATGAATAGCTATGTATCTACATATATAAACATGCATACAAATGTAAATATAT